TAACCAAATCTGAGAATTCTCTGAACTCTCATCAACTTTTCTTCATTGCCTCTATTTTTAAAAGTGCTTTGTTCACTCAGTGTTTTAAACTAGAAAATACTAAAATTTTAAAACATCCCTTATGGTCTAGAAGTTAGATATAATGAAAGAAAACTCAAAACACTAGGAAGAATTAAATTTTCAAAAAATGCTGCTGAGAAAGTCATAATTTGGCTAAAAATCCTGGCAACACATCAATTCATTGTGTTCTAAGTTATTTCATTGTGACTTAGTCTCCCAATTAGAGAATAAAGCTCCTTACAGAGAGGACCTATACAACTTCTCTTTTGCTTTCCCTCTCCCACGTCTAAGAAGGAACAAGAAACTAACATGCCCCTATTAGTAAGAGCTAAAACTTTTTTATATAATGGTTGAGTGCTCACATAATGAGCAAAACAGTTCTGTGTAGGACAAATATAGGCCTAGGGGGGTCAGAAAGACATGTACTCTTTTGTGTAACAGTTAACTTGTTCCTTTATTTTTTTAAAAATATTTGTATATATTTTTATTTATTTCAGAGAGAGGCAGGGAGAGGGAGAAAGAGAGGGAAACATCAGTGATGAGAGAGAATCATCAATTGGCTGTCTCCTGCACACCCTCTACTGAGGATCAAGCCCACAGCTCAGACATGTGGCCTGACTTCCTGGTTCAAGGGTCAATGCTCAACCACTGAACCACACTGGCCAGGCTGCTTGTTCCTTTCTTTATTTGTTCAAACCCCTTTAAAAATTGAGAGTATTCAAATTTGCCATATTAAAAAAATGCAACCATTTTATAAGACAGTTGCCAGCTGAGCATCTTCTAAGTCGGTATGTATTTATGCTTAAAAATAGAATACAACAAATAATTTCCTTTGGCGTGATTAAGTGCTGGTTAAAAGTTTTCTTTGAACAATATGGAAAAACAAGAGATTTTCTAATCAAGCAAAAGTAGGAAAAAGCAGTTTGATTTTAGAACTACACATCTCTCATAAAACTATTTGCACTCTCACAGTAAAAAGATTAGTTGCCTTCAATGGATTCTCAGGGACAGGGGGAAATCCTATTATTTCCTCTCCACTAAGGAGTAACATCTTCCTATAATTATAGGAAAGCTGTGCATTTAGTTGCCTGCTCAGAAAGTACCATTCCCTAATAAAAAGCAAAAGTAATCTACTCTCACCAAGTCAAAAATAAAGACTAGATTCTCAGCTCCTACTGCCCTCTTTCATCTGTAACTCCTGTCATTAGAACTCACGTAGTAAGAGGCATTAAACAACAATCCATTAATTTAGAAATTCTCCTTAAGGCCAACTCTCATCTCAAGGTCCCCTCCCAGCTAAAATAGTCTGGTTCACTTACTTTATCTGATAAGAGGCAAAAATAGGGAAATAAGTAATTGTGATGTATGCAAGCATCTATCAAGATAGAAAAGCAATGGCAAATATCCTTAGCACAAGTTTTTGAACAGATACTATGGCCATTAAACACTCACCTGTCACCTTTTACCCATGATAACACAACAGATGGCATTTGTTTGGGCTACCACACAACTAGCAGTGCCTCTTTCTCCTACTAGGAATGCATATCACTCCTCTCCTTTAAGTGTCTTCACAGAACCACTCATTTAGACCCAAAATCTAAATTACCTTCAGACCTAGTATGGTCTTCTTTTCCGGACCTCAACAGCATTATATATCTCTGCATTACTCATACTTTTAAAAAATATATTTTATTGATTTCAGAGAGGGAGAGGGAGAGATATATAAACATCAATGATGAGAGAGAATCATTGATCAGCTACCTCCTATACATCCCCCTGACTGAGAATCAAACCATGACCTCCTGGTTCTTAGGTCAAATGTCAACCACTGAACCAAACTGGCCAGGCCGTTAGTCACAATTTTAAAGAAACATGGAACTCGGAGGAAGGGGCCTGAGAAACTTCTCATTTTACTGATGGGCAGGAACAGACCATGAATTATTCAGGGTTTCATAGCAGCACATGTGACTCTAGGAATATTGCAAATGAAAAGTATTAGGTCTTTATCTCAATTATCAACTGCTTCCCTTTCCATTAGAAAAATAACACTTGATTTGGATAGTATATTTTGGCATGAACATTGAAGATAAGAAAGACCACTTCTTTTTAAATCCCTTACAAAGGCCAAAATCTGATACATTTTTCCTTCTCCCTGATTCATAACAGGGAGTCAATATAATTACTTTTCAAATATTTTAACTAAAACAAGGATAGGTTTGATTTCTCTAGCATCAAAAAGCTGATCATTAGGATCAATAGCTACTCAAATTTGAGACATACAGTCCTAGCCTTCTTTATAATCATAAACCATTTTACCAGAGGACAATGTAGAAAGAAAAGTTGTGAGGACTGAGAATAGAAAAGTCAGGGTCTGGGAATAAGAGTGTCAAGGATCAGGAACCATGGCTTAGTGTAGACTCAGAATTAAATTGTATTTTTTTTTTTTTTGCCTGAAAGGGTAAGAAGCTTCTGCTTACCCCGTTGCGGGGGAGGACTTGGGGGAGAGGTGGTGGTTACACTGCAACCTGTCCACTGGGAAAAATTACTTTTCTCATATATCTCACACACAAGGCATGAATTGGGAGTCACAAATACCACAAGAACATCACTGTTTATGGAACATAGCCCTTCTTCCCCCACCCCACTCTGTATGGGAAAAATAAATTAATAAAAATATAGACCATCATCCAAATGTGCTTGCCACCTTTCTCTGTTCTCTGAACTTGGTATTTTATTCAGTTTCTTCTTGTGCCTTCATAGGCCATTTCTATGGCCAAAATCACTGCCTCTGACCAACTACTCAAGTAATTTCTAGAACCCCTACATTGTAGGTCCCCTAAATTCTATGACCTGGAGTTCTCTTTCCCTTCATGCGTAATCCTCTTCTCAGTCAAGAAAGGCAGAACATAGAGAGATAATAAGCAAGCCAAAGAAATCTGGGTATAAACCCTGGCTCAGTTCGATCCCTCACTGCTAAGTGGCCTGAAACAAGCCACTTTATCTCTTTGAGCCCCAGCTTTCCCATTTGTACAGTAATCATATTACCTACTAGCTATGATTATTGTGAGAATTACAGATATACCACACAAACTCTCTTATCCAATGACTATAACATGGCATGCATTAGATAAATGTTAATAATCCTATATAATAAAAGCCTAATATGCTAAGTGTCCGACCGTTCGTTTGACCTTTTGACCAGTCACTATGACGCGCACTGACCACCAGGGGGCAGACGCTCTGACTGGTAGGTTAGCTTGCTGCTGGGGTGCTGCTGAATGGGACTGGGCGAGACGGGCCAGACATGCTCTGGAGCACTCCCATAGTCCCTCCGGGGCCCTGATTGGCCCCGAAAGGTGGGTGAGACATACCCTGAAGCCCTCCCGCAGGCCCTCCCTGGCCCCAATTGTGCACCGGTGGGGTCCCTCAGCCTGGCCTGTGCCCTCTCACAATCTGGGACCCTCGGGGGATGTCGGAGAGTCGGTTCTGGCCCAATCCCTAAAGCCAGGCCAAGTGACCCCACTGGTGCACGAATCTGTGCACCGGGCCTCTATTTATTAATATAACTGCGAATTGGCATTTTATAACAGGACACGTGCTCCTTTAGAAAAACTGCCCTATACATCATGTTTGGGGACACTCCCTGAGATTCTTCTGAGTCTATGTTGAAATCTATCACTTTAGATGTCTTCTCAGGAGTATATCCTTTATTACCCATCAGGTTGAACTCTAATCCCAAAATGTCCACTAGCATTTATTGAAGCCTTCGGTCCTTCCAATCTTTTAACTAAAAATCATCACCAAAAATATATTCTTGATGCTTTATAAGAATTATTTCCAAACTGACTAAGGACTACCACTACCAAACAGGAACTTTCTAAGACTACAAATTTGTGTGCCTCTTCCCCTAGAGATTAATTCATTAGGTCCTAGGGAGGGGCCAGGGATTTGTGTTTCAAAAAGGCTTATGATATGATTCTAATGCCCTGCGGGTTTTGGAATCACTGCTTTATATGATCCCAGATCTTCCCCCTCTGCAAAGAAACATGTGCAAACTAGAAATTACCTGTTTAGCTTCTAATTAGAGCACCTGCTCTGTTTCCTTCAAGTGGTAGTCAACCCCACCCAGTAGTCCCGCCAAAAACAAACAAAACACACCCAGGACACAGGTAACTCAGCGGGCATTAAAGCCTCCGGATTTGTGCAGAAAAACTGCTATAAGCAGCTTTGTTTCTCATTATTAATCTATCTCATGTGGGGATTTCCACAGGCAGAAAGGCTCTCCAAATGCCAAGAGCTATGTTTTCTTGTGGATCACTGAAACCTAATTATTAACAGACCAGTAAGCCTCACGACCAGACTTTCATAAAGTCAGAAGATCAGAAAGACAGTCTTGAATTATGGGCTACAGAGAGCAACTAAGGATCCAAAAGGCAAATTCATTTCTTCACTGCTGCTCTCCCACATGCCACAATACCTGAGCTTCCCAGGAAGATCTAAACCTCTGCAAGGCACTGCTTGCATGTAGATAACCATTTTTCGCACCTGAGAGCCTTTAGATACATGGTGTATGTGATCAAATCGGCCTGTTCTGTTTGTCCTAACTATGAGGACCTCTCCCCTACCAGCTGGGCTACCTTGTCTACCATCAAGACTTCAGTTAGTCTGCCTGCCCTGAATGACAATCGCAGCAGCATCGAGCTTTGCTACACAGAGCACATCTGACTAAAAGGGTGCCATGCTGAAGTTTCAAATCATAACAAAAAACACTGAGCTTGGTTTGGTATACTGTTTCAGAAGCAAGCACAAAGCTCTGCAGGGCAGCCTTCCAGCATCCCACACGGATATCTTCTCCACCTGTTAGGAAGAACCACTGAGGAACAGGTACCTAAGGAGGGGATTTTTCAGCCATAGAAAAGAACAAAGCCACGCTTCCTCACCTGTCTGAGTCCCTTTGGCATCTTCTTTCTCTTCCCGAGGTGCTGGCAGAGATTGCGGTCATTTTCTCGATCTGAGCTGTAGTGATGTGGGTGGCTGAGGCGGCTCTTCTTGGAATGAAAGGACAAGCCGTTGGTAAGTGCTTCTCGTTTCTTCTTCGTCAGAGGGGTCTGGCGTTTCTCCACACGTTCCTGAGGCTTAAGTGCTACATCTTTCTGTAGAAGAGACGAGAAGGAAAGGGAAGTGGTGGTTATATAGGTATCTAGGGTCACACTCAAAATACAGGTTAAATGAGTACTAAAAGGGAGGGTGGGAAGGACAGGAAAGTGGGATATGAGAATACTGAAAACTAAGAAACTTGGCTCTTAATTTTTCTTAGCTCCTAATGCCACCATAAATATATCCTTTCTATTCCTATTGGGCAAAAAAAATTCAACTAAGCACAAAGTACCTGTCCATTAAATTTGATTTCACTGCTCCTGGGACAATGGCTTTCTATTTGATTCTGTGCTGGGTCCAGCACACAATATTCCCCAAGGAGGCTTAATACACTCACTTCCCAAGATGGTACATCAATTATGTTTTGAAAAAAAGAGTACTAAGTGCATGCACTATTCAAAAACAGCAGCATAAGACTGAACATACCAGGGCCAGGTGGATGTGAGCCAGCAAGAAGGAAACTGTCAATTCATACGATTAAGATGTTTCCTTAATGCATTATATTTTCACCACAAGTTCCTCTGAGCATCCGTAATTCACATCTTCATTGCAAAATGTAACAATATTATCACCAAGATCAAAAGCAACTTTTCATTTATTCCTGTGTGTGGTTGGGGGTGGAGGAAAGGGTAACAGAAGGGTAATGGATGTTCTGGAATAAAAAGTAGCATCTGTAGAAACTACAGGCAAGAATTTGAGGCCACACAACCTAGTAGTTATGTGTCTGCAGGCAGCTCAGGATATACTGAGATCCCAAAGGACCTGGGTTTGAGCCCTGACACATTATACATTATGAGACGTGGAGTAAGTCACTGCGATTATGAGCCCATATGTAAAATGGGCTCAGTGATGACGATGACTTCCTGAGAAATGTCACATGAAACACTAAAATTAAAAATATCTGGCACTGCCCTGACTGATGTCACAGTGGTTAAAGCATCAGCCCCTGCACCAAAGAGTCACAGATTCAATTCCCACTCAAGGGCATGTACCTGGGTTGCAGGTTCAATCCCCTGCCCAGGTTGGGGTGCATGCTGGAGACAATCAATCGATGCCTTTATCTCTCTGTCTCTGTCTCTCTCTGTTTCTCCCTCTCTCTACCCTCTCAACCCCTCCCTCTACTCTCTCTAAAAATCAATGGAAACACATCCTTGGGTGAGGATTAACACACACACACACACACACACACACACACACACAAATGGCACTGTATCATTTGTAAATGATTGGATATGAAACTCCTCACCTCCACCTAAATTCTGTGTCTATAATCCTAAATGAACATTTAAAAATAATATAAACAAGAGCAAAAATTTCCCTTCTCAAAATTCCCCTCTTTTCTCTGTCATAGTTAATTTTTTATATTATTAAAGTTATTGGGGTTACATTGGGCAACATAATCAGATAGGTTTCAGGTGTGGGTTTCTATGATAGCCAATATCTTGAAGCAGTTATCTATTGCACTGCTTCTACTACTATATCCCAACACTCCCCACTTGACTTACACAGACCTCCTCAATAACTTTTCCCAGATAAGCCACACAACAATTGTTGGGGACCTCGGACCTTTATGACTACTTTGCCTTGGCCTCAAAAGACCTCCCTTCCCTAGCTCTCTCTTTTCTAGTTCAAGGACTTTTTGTAATGCTGCCTATTCAGGGAGACCTTTATATAATACAAAAGCAATCTTCTCAAGCTTTCACTCATTTAACAAATATATTTTGGGCACCTAGTACTAGTATATACCACGTACAAACTCATCAGTGCCCTACAGTGCTAAGAAAATAATTTTGTAGGGTGAAAATCCTCACCTCATGGAGTTTAGAATTTAGGAGACAAATACTAATCAAATCACACAAATGTGTAATTGTCAACTGAACTAACTGCTCTAAAGAAAAGGTAAAGGGTACTAAAGTTGGGGAAAATAGTCCAGTCCAGAGGAAGGGGTTGTGGCTGAAAACATGAGTGCCGTTTGATCTAGATTTGAAAGTCTGAGCAGAGAGAAAAGCTTGTGCAAAGGCCCAGAGGCAGCTGGTAGCACAAATCCTTGAAAGGACCAGGGCAGGGAGTAAGTATTGTTTATCTCAGTAACCCCAGAGCTTCACATACAGAGTCAGGCAAATAATAGGTGGAACATATATTTATACTTGCTAAATAAATAAATAAGACAACTAGTCAAAATATCCAAACCTACAAACCACAACAATCTATACATATAAAAGCCTAAGCGACCATTATAACCAATTGACCAAATGGGTCGACTGGTCACTATGATGCACACTGACTACTAGGGGGCTGACGATCAATGCAGAAGCTGCCCCCTGGTGGTCAGTGCGCTCCCACTGCCAACCTCCCGCGGTCCCTCCCCAGGCTGGCCCTATTAGCCCTGATTGGGGCTGGGCAAGATGGCCCCTATTGACAGTCAGGACAAGGGACCCCACCCGTGCACGAATTCGTGCACCAGGCCTCTAGTGATTTAATAATATCCCAGGCTGCCTCTAACACAGAGTAAAGCAACCTAGAAAAGTTGATTAAAGCAGAAAATCAAGAAACCGAGCAGGCACTGATGGCACACAAGAAGGATCACAGAAAATAGCAAGAAGCCCCAGAAAAAAAGAAAAGCCTTGTCCTTGGAACAAAAAGATATCAAAGATAACAGTTTCATTAGGCAAATGAGCACCTCTGGTCTAACATCACTGCCGATGATGTACCCTCTGCCATTGAAGAGGCAGGCCTCCTGATGCAATGAGGATGTGGTGAGGTGTGTTCAGGGGAGGAGTTGAGATCAAAGCAAGTGTTCACAGCCATTGATTCCACAGTCTCAGAACCTTGTACACTGTGCCTAACTCCTGTTAAATGTTCAATAAAAGACTGCCATATTTATTCCTTTGCCCAGTGTCCACTACCAGCCAGCTATGTCAGACATCCGTTCAGCTCAAACTATTCAGTGCTTAGTCTCACATGTAATCATGATAGTCAGCTATCATGAAAAGACACTCAGGTATAATGACAATGCTAGCAGAAGCAGCCAGGTGAGTTCCATCATGGACTGCTTCTATATAATATGATTAAATTGTACCACTTCTAAGAATAATATATAAACTCCACACCGTGTAAAACACACACACACACACACACACACACACACACCTCCTTTCTTTGTGATATAACCCACCTATTGCCCTGCATTACATGCATGTGGAGTATCAGATTAATAAACAAATGATATTTAATAATGTATCAACTGGGCTTTTAAAAAAATTATGTCTCTTTAGAGACCAAATCTTTCATACCAAAGGTGCTCCAAAGTATATTGAAAATTATGTGCAATTCCATACAAATGTGAATTAATATTTATGAGACTATGTATAATTTTTTCCAAATTCATTTTATTCTCATGTAGCTTATTAATCAAGGCATTCTCACTGTACTGCAGAACAGCTACACAGAACAAATAGACCCCATGCTGTGACATTAGCTTGTAAGAGACCTGCTGAAGTCTTAGCAGCAGCAGTACAATCATCTTAGCTCCAATTAATATTGAGATTTTCAACTCTGGAGGGTGTGGGGAGGGAAGGGGAAGAGAGACCAGAACAAAGTGTGTGTAGAGTAGAAGCTTAACAGGTAAAGAAGAAATGAACAGTGTTTTAAAGGTTTTTATTATATAAGAAGTTTATATTTTCAAAGACTAGAGATGATCTTTATTCTTTCAAAGGTATAGTTATTATTTATAAATTACTATATAGGCCCTTTAGTACAATTCCTGAATAAAACAGGCCATTATTTCTTTATTCCCTCTATAAACATTTACTGACTGCTTATTATGCATATATTAAAATAATCGTTTAATTTTCATTGACTGTCTTGGGGCAAAAAAATGACAAAAACTTTTCACTATAAACAATGAGAATAAAAGACAAATAGATTTATTATAAAGGCAATCAGCCTTTAATAGTCTAAAGAGCTGTGCACCTGATTACATACACGTGTATACGTAAACATATAAACAATGTTCAATCTTTTTCTTCTCGTGGCACATATAAACTAATTACTAAAATTCCGCAGCACAGCAAAACATATGAAATAAAAAATAGGTATAATTTTGATTCATTCACACCAGATGGCTATTGTTGTTTTGGCTGTTGTCATTTTTTTTATGTGGCAATCTAAGGGAAAAGAGGTCGGTGCCCCTAACTAAATAGGCAGATATCACATGTTTTATGGCACACTGGTTGAAAATTGCTGGTATATATATATATATACATCCACAAACCCACCACCAACAAACTATTAGCAACTAATTTAAGAATTTCCTTAAAGAAACATAGGCAGTCTATAAAATAATGCTACATAAATATGTAGAGTAAAACTGTCTAGTTTGTAAAATAAATTTGTAGAACCAATAAAAGATTTTTAAAGGCCTAATGATTTATTAGTCTACCATGACCTAGGCTAGTGATTCTCAATGAAAATTAATATCCTTCAGAATTACCTTCATTGCTCTTTGAAAATAAGAGGACTATGCCCCATACTCATCAAGGAAAGCATTTATCAAACAAGCACTGGGAGGGAATGTAAAGGAGGGCAGAGGGATAAGAGAGAGATCAGGGAAAATGCTTTAAGGCATTCATTTGACAATCACAGTAGAAGCAAGCAAGAAAGCCAGCGAGCCAACGAGCCAACAACAGAAGGCTGGCAGTGAGGTCAAAAGATTTAGACGGGGTAAATACATGCACAACAGATGGGAATAAGTTTCTTGAAGAGTTGATATTATCTGATATTTCGGTCACTGGTGATGGTGGGCAGGGTCATAGCAGTGCATATGCTGAGAGTCTCAGAGACCAACTGACCAAAATAAGTGATCTTGCTCTTGACTTCTCTTATCCTAAATTCCAATCATCTGCTGGTTTCCTCTGCCACTCCTGAATTTTAAAATGAGATGGTTCAGCGCTGTGCAAACTGGGAAAGAGTAACAATTTGCCAATGAAACACTATG